AGACAATTAAAACAAATTCACGGGTTCAAGAAAAATTTTAGAATCTCACAAAATTAAGAATGAGATTCACATTGTTTAGGCTCAAAGGGGTTAACGAATTCTCTCTACTCACGGATAAGTTGCATTTGGACATGGTTGTGCTCAATAAAAACAAGTGCCTTGATTATTTCTAATGCTTCCACAAATTCACAATGATAACAAGATAAAGCATGAATCATACGAATCAATAAAGTTTATCAGAAATCCAGCATTTAGTAAACAATGGAAGCTTTCTCACAAATTATGGTTTTTGGTCCTAAGTGAAACAATCATTCAAACGAGTTGCCAAAAGAACAAATTTCATTTGCAAAAAGACTTAAGTTCTTAAGCATTCTAAAATTCTCAACAAAGGAAACCATGTACCTTGAAAATATTCACTTGTTTCAAACTATCATCGCCATCCAAACTCGGTCGAAGCTTCATTGAATGCTTTATACCGAAAGCAACCACTCTAGAAGGAGTTTTCGTCATTCCTGAGCACACTAGAAAAAAACATAAAAAGAAACAATATATGCAAAATATACAAAGCTTAAAAATATAGAACCGTTGCAATGCACTTCAAAATCTCAACACCAATCCCCGGCAACGGCGCCATTTTGTTGAAGCAATAAAGCAGCAAGCAAAAAATATTAAGTACCCAGTTTTGTCGTCTCCACAGGGATTAGTGCGATATGAATGTCGTTCAACGACCTCTACAATTCTAAGCTTATTGTTCAAAAGTTTTGGTTTAAAAGGTTCAAGAAACCACAAATAAAAACAGAAAATATAAAATAAAGACTGAAATATAAACGGAGCCTTGTTGGGATTGGATTTCATCAATTGATAACATATGCATTCTTCTGATCAAATTAAACACAACGCAATCATTCGTCTAATACCCTTACGTATCACCCACGACAAAGCTTATCTCTAATGCAGCGTCGAGAGAACAACCATGTTGTCTCATTGGTGATCTCTCTACCAACAAAAACACAACACAGAGCATTACAAACTGATACTCGTGCAAATGTTAAGCCTAAACCTATCTCTAGCATTTAGGACCTAACAGGTAATCATCCTAGATCCAGATCTGAAGAGTGTATATCTATCACGGTTCAAATCAAAGATAAATAAGTAAGCAAAGACGACACCCATATCGGATAAACGATTGTTTTGCATAAAACACAATGATCAGAATACGCACACACGCTTAACCCTTTTTTACATGTATTCATCTAATCTGCCAAATGGTTTTGAACGTCGTTCTTCATCACTATTATCACATACCCACACGATATCATATTGATCCTACCCCCGCTACATAATCAACACAACACCATAGAAGATCTAATGAATATCAATTTACAAAACTATGTCAAAAGTTTGTTCATTGGTAGAAAAAAATTTGAGATCAAAGATGTGAAAAGGTTTTGTCAAGACCCACAAATACATAATCAAAGATAATCAATCAATAGAGAATCCAAACTAGTTCACAAACATAAATTAGATGAAATACATAAGGTATCAAAAGATTACATCCAAACTCCAACAAGAGATCAAAGATCTTACCTCCTCCCTCTTAGGGTTTTGTCTTTCTCTTTCTAAAATAGATGAAGAGAGATAAGTTTTGATGTAGAAAAAATTACGTATTAGATAATGACCTAAAAAGCAATAAAAATACTTATATAGTACATTCAAGATCTGTCATGTTCGCCTAGCGAACAACAAATTAGGCCTCTGAGGTGCCTTTGAACAGGTAAACCGCCCCTGAGATATTTCCAAATATTCGCTGGGCGAGAAATCCTTCTCCTAGAGAAGCCTTCGATGTGAACTTCGCCTAGAGAGTTTATGGTTCTTTCACCTCTGTCTCAAGTCTGGGAGTGTTCGCTAGCTACTCACTACCTCTTCGCCTAGCGACTTCTTGGCTGCTTTTCTCGCCTAGCGAGTTTAGGTCCCTTTCCATTCTGTTGTGAACAGTGCATTGATTCCTAGCCTTCGCTACATGGTTCGCCTAGCGAACTTTATGAAGTTTTGGAGGGAGCTTCGCTGGCAAGTTCGCCTAACGAACTTGTTTCTGTTTGCTTGCTATCTTGGTTTCTTTGCCATCTTCTTGTGTCTTAATTCTCACTCTTTTTTATGCCAATTTCCTGTAGAATAACAAACAAATCAAAGGTACCAAGATACTTTCACATAATGTTGCAAAACAACCAAAACAAGAGCGATTTCAAATACTTTCTTGACAAAAAGGAGTGAAAAATGCCAACATTTGATAGACCAAATAAGCAAAGTTTGGCATCTAACAGTGGTTAGACCTTTCTGTATTTTAGCTTTTCTTTTTTTTATGTTTTAGTATAGTCACTTCAGGGAGTGACCAAGAAGTTAGAATGAACACAGAAGCTAGAATGAGCTTTCTGACTTCAGGGAGTGACCAAGAAGTAACAATCTTTAAAATTCTTTCAGCTATCAAGGTAAACATCATACACCTTCTTCTACTGACATAGCTAGATCAACCATTTCACTCCCTCCTCTCTCGCAAAAGTATGTGTTACATTGAAGATGCTGAAAAATAATATCAAAGTCAGCACTCCATTACAACACTCACACCAATACTAGAACACCTTAATAAAATATCACGCTACCAGGTGTTATTGGGACGAACCGGTTCTCAAATTGTTCAATACTTCCACTTCAATGTCGTTGTATGAAATCCTGAACCACAATCTAAAAAACACACATTCATATAGGGGCGTTGATCACCCATCAAAGGAGATGTATACCCTCTCGCAGGGTGAAATGTGAGAGACAATCCAATCTAAAAATAGTCTCATGCTTGAATAGACACCCTCCAAAATTTAAGCTCTATTTAAGATAGAACCTGTCCCGTCCAATTCTACTTCCACCCAAAAGTTTTAAGTGGCATCAATTAGAAATTCAAGACTTTATTGGTCCTTTTGAACCATCTCTCCCCCACTATCAATAAAAAGATAATGGTAATAAGTTATTGCATGATCTCAGATGTTGATATTCCCCATAAATTTTTTTGTAGCTAGTTTCCCATCCGTTCAAAGATCTTAAAGATTTGATATAAGAGCAGAGACCCAAATCATTATGATACACCTCGGTTGAACCAAGATCTGCCATGAGCCTCGCAAAAGAAAAAAGACTGAGCCTAACTTCTCTGATAACAGGACGATCCAGACTAACCCGTACAACTCTTCCCATGGGATCACATGTGTTTACCTCAGACGATGGACTCAAGTGTCACTAAGAATAATAAGTTTTCCTCTCCAAATCATTTGCTTACATTTTTATGAGGACCCATTAATTCGAAAGTGTCACTAAGATATAACGGGACCCCTCCAAATCATTCGCTACCATTTTAAATAGAAACCCCTAGATTTGAAATTCTAGCTAATAATTATAAGATTTGCAATGGTTTGAGCATTGACTAAATGAGTAACATCCAATATTTATGGGTCTACAACTCTGGTGCGAGATGAAGCATTGCTTCCACTATCAAGTCATTGCTAAAATAAAGAATATGAAGCGACGGTAGAAAACAAAAGCGAGAGAAACAGTACTTGGAGAAAATTAAAAGTATGAGAAGAAAGTTATGATGAAGGATCACTCTAAAGAGAAAATATTGAAGGAAGCTGAAAAATCCAAAAGGAGAAACAGACAGACAAATCTATACACCGCTAGAATTAAGGGATAAATAATTCGAGTTGACAAAAGAAAAGAAGAAGAGACAATTTTCACAAAGTAAGGGAACACAATTTTAAAAGAGAAATGACCCTTATATAGTGAAGCAAGGTAGATAAATCGATGACTCGAAAGGAAGAAAGATAGGCAAACAAAAGTCAACAGTCATGAAAGAACAATCATTCGAAGATGTTTCAATGACAAGACTAACATTTAATTCAATCAAATATTAAGGTCACTCACACTGACTCCCTAAATCATTTACACTTCTGTAAGAAACAGAGCCTGACACGAAGATCCCGGTCCAAGGCAGCAACAACGTGACGTTTTGCAAAACTTCCCATTGTTTGTGTACTAGAGAGCGTTAGTTGAAACTTTTTCCGGTCGGTCATAGGCACAATAATGAGAGGGCCCGCACACACTCACCTGCACATGCACACGGACATACATATAATGACAGATAAATCAGCAAAATATAAATACAGTTGAAAAAGATAGCATGGGTATTCTACACCTAAAAAAATAAAAAATAAAAGAAACCAAACAAAACAACAATAGAACAAGTCAAACAACAACTATTAGAATATCCAAATACCCAAAATAGGGGAAAACAAAATCAACCAAATAAAACACCAAAACTGCCTAACTAAGAAGCCAAAAACATGAACATTACAAACCCTCAAGGAGAACTACTAGTTCATACACAAGACAATATTCGTCAATCACTCTAAGGGGAAGGAAGCAAACAAAATATTACCCAAAGAACCATTTCTAAAATTATAAAAAAAATAAAAAAAATAAAAAAATAAAAAAGTTTTGTCCACCAATCCTCCAATTTAGATGTCACACTTGAAAAAATGAACTCATTTCATGATTTCCATATAGCCATAACACATAATATCAAACTAAGGTTAAGTTTGTTCTAACTCAAGAAGTAGACCCAAACGACCTAACAACCTAGAATACGAGTATAACTGTTTAGGTGAGGAAAACTTCCAACCTAATTACCTAAATATATTGTATCAAACAGTAGCTGTAACATTAGAGGTGACAAAAAATGGGAAGAAACTTCCCCCAAAATGATGTTACGCTTGCTTAACAAGTTTATACTGCGTAAGAAGTTTATCTATGTTGTTATTATAAATAAAACAAGTAATTATGTTGTTAAAACTTTAGATTGACATAATTCATCATACTTTATTTCATTTATAATACTAGCTTTCATATAATATTCCATAACTTGAGAAATATCTGAATTTCCTGGGTATAAATCAATCAAACTAATTTTCTCTTTTTGTTATCTTAACCTTGAGACCTTCTTTTGTGAGAAGTACAATTGAAAGGCTTGGAGTGACACAAGTACCTTGCACAACATGAACACAATAGTTCCACAAAATAGAAGCAGTCACCATCTTAACTTGAAGGAAAGCCAAGTCTCTTCCCAAACAAGTCCTAGGCCCAGCATTAAAGCTAAAGAATTTGTAAGATGGAACATAAACATTGCCTCCTCTTTCAGAAATCCACCTCTCTGGCTTGAACTCCAAGCAATCTTTTCCCCAAATATCTTCAAACCTCCCCATTGCATATAAAGAAAAGAATATCATTTTATTAGGATGAACATGATGACCACTCGGAAGTATATCGGCTTTAATCGCTTCCTTTCGCTCAAAGGGTACCGGTGGAAAAAGCCTTAACGCCTCACATATAGCACCATGAAGATAAACAAGCTTCTTCGTCTCGTCGACACTTAAAACCCAAGGCTTCTCTTTGTGTCCAAAGTTTTCTTTTATCTCTTCGAGAATCTTTGCTTCCACTAAAGGATGTGTAGCAATGAGATAAAATAACCATGTAAGCGCCGATGTTATAGTATCTCTCCCAGCTACAAAGAGATTGAATGCAGAATCTCTTAGAAACTTGTCATTGTCCTTTGATTTTTCTTCTCCGATCATAGCTGTTATCAAATCAACATGATGATTTTTCTCAGTTTGAGCATCATTTTCATTTTTGTTACAATTTTTCAAGAGCTCTTCGCGCTTTGAAGCTATACAATCATATAGAAATTTGTCAAATACCTTGCATGCCTCGGTCATTTTTTTCTCTTCCCCGATTTGAAGCCATCTTTGCAATCTCCAAACGAACCCCGGGACAGTGTGTCTATAGAAGATGGATTCTTCAGCTTGGTTAAAAGCCTTCTCAACCGCGATTTCAGGAAAATCTATGGAAAGACAATTCGGATCATTTCCAAGAACTATCAAACAAATATTATCAAACGTGAAACGATTGAAAATATCTTGTAAATCTACCATCAACCCTAGTTGATGAACATGATTGAGTAGTGGAATCAATGATTTCTCAACTTTGTTGTGAATGACTTTCTCTTGAAAAGCTTCAAAGCTCCTTTGTTTGAAAAGATATTGAAGAAGATTCCTATGGTATTTCCATTGAATTGAATCGGTAGTGAAAATACCTTCACCAAAAGCTTGAAACATTTCGCGAAACAAATCACCTTTCACAAAGTTGTCGAAACTCTTGCTCATAATATGGTGAACATTCTGTGGATCAGCTGTGATTACAGCTTTCATATTGGTAAACCAAGGTCCTAAGAACTCAACTGTGCCACCTTTTGCTTTCAAAAATTGAGCTGAAAATTCATGAATACGTGAAACGTTCCAAAGAAATCTTGGTAGCATACCAACAAAAGGCCAGTTTGTGAAAGCAGGAGTTTTGAGATATAGTGTTTGGTAAAAAGCATATAGGAATAAGGAAAGAATGAGTGTGATAGCCATAGCTAGAAATGAAACTAACATGATCATTGTTAATGTCAATGAAATTGAGGGATAGTGTTATGTTATGCTTCCAATGTATCATCTATATACAAAAGTAATATTATTTTGAAATGATGGTTTTAAATTAAGATCTTTAATGGTTTATACGATGTATTAGTTAATAAATTGACAATAATGTTTTTTATTACAAATATATTGATTTTAATGATAAGGAGCAACAAATTATAAATCTAGACCGATAAAATAAAACAAATAAATTTGTAACTTATTTTGAATAATAGAAATAAAACATATTAATTTGTAAGATAAGATCGTATTTAATGGAATAAGTACACTCCTTTTAGGAAAAAAATAAAGATATTTTAATGATTAAAGAAATTTGTTATATTGAATTAATGATAAACAAAAATGATATGAAATAATATAAAATGAATTTATTAAAGTATATACATTTTATCTGTCTATTTTTTTTAGTTTTAATCTTTTCATTTTAAAATTTAGGATTTTAGTATTTCTTTTTAAAAAAATTTATTTTATTTTAGTTCTCTTTCTAATTTTGAAATAATTTTTTTTATGAAAATGCGTTGATAGTGATGACTTGCAAATTTTAAGTTGATCCATTTTATTTCTACCTTACTTGTCAATTTCAAGTTGATCAAATTTATTTCCTTATCACTTGTCAATTATGAATTTTATTTCCACATCATTCTTTTAAAATTTTTGAATAATTAATTAATTAAAATTATAAAAAACTTGTAAAAATAAAATTTTAGGACGATAGACTTCAAACTGTTAAAGTATAATCCTAAATCCAAATAGTTAGTTGCATTTCATTTAAGTGTCAAGTGAGTTTAGGGTGCATTTGAGTTTCATCTCATATTTTAATTATGTATATAATTGAATTTACGTTCAATCAGATAGAAAGAATTCATTTGTAACCAATTTCAATTCGGTTAGAGAAAGTTAGTTACAATTTTTCTTCTATCTCTTTCTCTTTCATCATCTTATTCATCTTCAACCTTGTGCACTAACAATTGGTATATAAAGTTTCGGTTTAGATTCAGAACGGGAAACACGAGTGTACATGAGGCACGTGTGATTGATTCTGCTCATTCAACTCATGGTGAATTGAAGATCAAAATCGAAACAGAATCACATTTCTTGATTTTGAGTGATTGAAAACCATGAGGGTTAGTGGGATTTGAGTGAGTTTGCACAAGAAAAAAAATGAACGGCGAAAATGGTAGCTTGATCACAAAGCTTCCAGTATTTAATGGAAAGAATTGGAATCAATGGATGATTCAGATGTTTGTGTTATTTGGCGCTTAAGATGTTCTTGATCTCGTCAATGACGATTACATGGCGGTTATAGCATATGCAACTGAAGCACAAAGAAACAGAGATAGAGAAACAAGGAAGAAGGATCAGAAGATGTTGTTCTATATCCATCAGTGTATAGATGCGAATGAGTTTGAGAAGATCGCTGATTCAACGAAGGAAAAGACTGCATGAGACACACTGGTACGATGCTACGACAGTGATACATCAGTAAAGAAGGTGAAACTTCAGTCTATACGTAAGCAATATGAAAATCTCAACATGAAGAACAATGAGAAGGTACCTGATTACATCTCCATAGTAATTCTGGTCACAAATGAGATGAAATCTTGTAGAGAGACTCTCTCTGAAAAATGAATCATTGAAAAGGTACTGAGATCACTTACTCCTCAGTTAGATTACACTATTGTAGCAATTAAACACTCTAAGGACCTTAGCATCATGAAAATTGAAGAGTTACAAAGTAGTCTAAAGGCACAAGAGTTGCGTCTGACTGAGAGAACCTCTAAAGGAGAGGTAGAGTAGGACCTGAAGGAGTTTTCATGTAAGAAGAATCATAAGCAGTCTTGGTCAGAGGCCAAGAATTGTTCAGAGGCCGAGAAGAGACATGGTGGTGGTTATCAGAAGTCAGAAGCCTCCAACTTTGATGAGAAGAAACATCATGAGGGAAATGAGAAGTTTGACAAGAAGAGGTTGCAGTGCTACTATTGTAAGAAGTTTGGTCACTTTGTTGTTGACAATTGGTCAAACAAGGAAAGAAAATCAGTAGAAGCAAACATATCCGGCATAGAGTCTGATGATAAATATGTGCTATTGATGGCTTCGAAACCTAATGGTGGATATTTTGTAAGCTGATGGTATATAGACACTGGCTGATAAAATCACCTAACTGGAAACAAACAATGGTCGATTAATTTTGACTCTAGAAAGAGAAGAAAGATCAAATATGCCGATGATAAGTATCTCAATACTGAAGGAATGAGAAATGTCAATGTCAGAGTGAAGAATGTAAAAGCTATTTTAATCAAGGATGTTTGGTATGTTTCTAGCACGAAGAGAAATCTAATGACTGTAGGTCAGCTAATTGAGAAAGGTTTCTCGGCTACTATGAAGGATAATCTCTTGAAGTTGTGTAATTTTGATCAGAATCTAATTATGCAATCTGAATAGGGAAGCAATATAAAATTCAAGGTGAATGTGGAAATAGCTTAAACTAAATGCCTTAGTGCAGAAGGTACTGAAATTGATAGTGAGTTGTGGCACAAGAGATTGGGGCATCTGAACTTCATAAGCTTAAGGCATATTAGTTCTAAGAAACTGGTACATGGCATTCCTAAGATTGTGAAGCTTGAGAAGTCATGTGAGATATGTATGAAAGGTAAGAAACCTAGATTTCCATTTGCATCAGAAGTGGCCCCAAGAGAAAAATATGCTTTAGGAGTAGTGCATTCTAATGTATGTGGACCATTTGAAGTACCTTCACTTAGAGGAAACCAGTATTTTGTTTCATTTATGGATGAGTTCATAAGAATGACATGGGTAGAACTCATCAAGTTTAAGCATGAGGTATTTACTGAGTTAAAAAAGTTCAAGGCGAAGGCTGAACAACAGAGTGGTTAGAAGCTGAAAATTCTCAGAATTGATGGTGGAGGTGAGTACAACTCATTGGAGTTCATAAGGTTTTGTGAGGAGAATTGGATTGAGCATGAAATGAATACTCCATATACTTCATACACAATAGTTTGCTGAAATGAGAAACAAAAATTTTCTTGATATGACCAAGAGCATGCAGAAAGAGAATAAGCTTCATCACACCTTGTGGGAAGAAGATGTTGTCATTGTAGCATATGTGCTCAACAGGTGTCCAACCAAGAAGCTGAAGGAAATTGTTCCTTTTAATAAATAGACTGGAGGTAACCAAAGTGTGAGCCATTTGAATGTGTTTGGTTCTATCATATTCACCTTCAAACTAATACAGAATCAGACAAATACCAAGAAGATTATAGAGTTTGACATGTTGCAAGATACTGAGATATACTCTAAAGAGGATGTCACTCAGTGTACCATGTTGGTAGACTTTAAACTAGTTAGTACTAAAGAAGCTCTCAACAAGAAAGTGTGGCTGAAGGACATGAAAGAAGAACTTGAGGCTATAGAAAGAAACAAGACTTGGAAGTTGACTGAGCTTACAAGGGACAAGAAAGCCACCAGTGTGAGATGGGTTTAAAAGTTGAAACTGAAGCTAGATGGATCAATTGGGAAACAAAAAACAAGATTAGTAGCTAGAGGATTTCTAAGAAAATATGGACTAGATCACTTTGAAGTGTTTGCTTCTATAGCTAAGCATGAAACAATCAGACTAGTGATTACTATAACTGCTAATAGAAATTGGCCTTTGATGCATTTAGATGTGAAATATCCATTTTTGAATGGTTTTTTACAGGAGAAAGTTTATGTGTCACAACATCTTGAATTTGTGAAAAAAGAATCAGGAAGAGATGGCGTACAAGTTACAGAAAGCCTTGTAAGGATTGAAATAAGCTCCTAGAGCTTGGAATCTAAAAAATTTATTCACTTTTCAAGCTTCAAGGATTCAGAAAATGTGAGATGGAGTATGATGTTTATGTTCATCAAACATCTGATAGCAATATGATTCTGGTGTGTCTCTATGTTGATAACATATTGCTAACAGGGATATGTTCAGATGAGACAACTAAGTTCAAGAAGGTGTTGATGAATGAGTTTGAGATGACTGATCTAGGAAATATGGCATATTTCTATGTCATACCCCAATTTTTTCTGGGCATTTTAAATTCATCTGATAAATGTTCATTTGTTAAGTTTTGTATTTTTTTAGCCATATGCATTTTTTTAAAGTCTTCATAATCATGCATATATGCATATATAGTAAAAAGTCAACATAAAATAAACATTTTACATGTTGAAGAAATTGACTAAAATTATATTTTTTTAATATGCATTTTAAAAAAATAAACAAATAAATTCATGTTCATTTTATTTATCATCAAAATATTCATTTGAATTTTATTAATCATTTTTATGCATCAATGTTTCTAGAAGGTCCAAAATATCTCCCATTTATTACATCATTATTTCATGCATATACAACATCATTATTCCATGCATATATTACATCATTATTCACTATTTAATTAAATAAGTTTCTAAAAGTCACTCACCACTCTTTGCATAATTTTTAAACTACCCTTTTTAGAGCATATAAATAAAGTCAATCTCATTCGCAAATCATTCACTAAACTAAGCCAAAACTCTCCATTTTTCTCCTCATTTTTCGTTCAAGTCATTTCTTTCTTCTTATTGTGTAGGTAGACTCTTATGCTTATTCTTCCTTTAATTCTATTACATTTTACTCTTACTTTATTTATTTAGTACCTTAATCATTACCATTTGGCATGAAAACTCAATTGATTTTAAATCAAGAGTTGAAAAGTGTACTTGAACCTCCATAAGCAAAAGTGATTTGTTGTTTTTTAATTTTAATTTTTTTAATTTTTATTTACATTATTATTCTTGTTGCACTTAATTAGTATCTTAATCACCCTTATTTTGTATGGAAATTCTATTTATTCAAAATCAAGAGTTTAACGTGTTCTTGAACCTCCATTAACAAATTGGATAAAATGAAAATTGATGCTTGTTTTACATAA